AGAGGACTGTGATAGAGAAGTGAATTATAATTCAGGTGTGATTCTTAGAGTTTGGAACCCACAGAATTCTCTTTCTGAATTGCCTCAGTGCTAACGAGCGTAGAGGTGTTCACATATTCACCTGAAACATTCCCCATTTGCCCGATGTTTTCTCACTACACGTGATCACTAGCTTCATTGACTATTTGTCTGTGACCATTCACAAATAAGACTCTTTTGATTAAGTTCCTTAAAGTTTGTTGAGTGTGAATTCTCTAAGTGTGCTGAGTGCAAACAGACATTCAACCAGTCGCCTCCGCTCGGACAGCATTGGAGCCACTCATTTTGCAGAACACATTTTAGCCTAGTGATCAGAGATTGCCTGTCTGGGAGGGATCTACCCTAGAGGTAGTTTCCTCTACTGAACTCATTCAGTTGAACATCAAAGCTGTGAGGAAGACTGAGGCAGGATTGAGACACAATGCTGGACCTAGGACAAGTATTATGTTGTCCTAGTATGGAATTTGTGCGTTTTTATAGCTCTTTGATGAGGCCACTTATTGTTTGCAGGCACAACTTTAACAACATGTTGACATGTGCCTCCTTATTCCATCACATCTTTCTGAATAGCTCAGCAACTCCAGCACACCTTAATAGTTGGCATTTGGTAGTTTTTGAGAACATGGATGGAAAATACTGAGAATCAAACAATTTAATTTTCTTTCTTGATCTAGGCCTGTTTTGCAGTGTGGACATAAACACAAAAGAATGGTTTAGATATAATGAAAATGGTCTCAGTTAAAACAAAGCAAAATTTAAAAAAAAAAACAAAAAAAACCAAAACCAACAAACCACAAAACAAATGAGAGAGAAGTCAAATAAAACAAATCCTTATTCTGATTTCAGTGGAGCTGCTATAATAAGTGTTTTCAAGGTTGTTCCCTGACATTAGGTAATTTATACTCAAACTATTCCTAACAACTGCATGACATAGCTTTGCTTTTGTTATTGTTGTAATTTGTTTATCTGAACATGATTATATATTCAGTTCACATGGCTGCTTTCGAATGATAGGACACAGAACTTGTTTCATCAAATGTTTTCAAAGTCTTTAAAGGGGAGGAGCTTTAAATAATTTTTTTTTATTCGCTCATTTGTTTAGCAGAAGCTGTTTATGTTCCATGTCAATATCACTTAAAATTACTATAGGATTTTGAGTATTACCATCTTCAGCTTCAAGTATAATGTTTACTGCACTACTGTGGCTCTTTCATTTGTTATGATTGAAAGAAGTTAAATGTTATGTAAAATAGTGGATTAAATAAATAATGGAAATGCATGTCTCTTCAAGTATACACCCTCAGTGAAGAAAACCAACAGCTGAAGTAACCCAGTTAAAGAAAATCCTGATTTCTTTTTTTTTTTTTTTAATTTAAAAACAGATAGAAAAAGATTTTTGTCAGTTAAAACCATATTTTTGTATCTTGATTCAGATAAAGTGATAGCTGACTTTCAGAAATCCACATACTGATTTTTTTAGTAATATAACTTGTGGCGAAGTACTGTAGAGAATTTCAACTAAAAGATACCCAAATCCAATCCATAGTCCCATCTTGCATGTTATGTACTGGTAACAGTGCCTTTAAAATGATTACTTTTTGCATATTAGTCTGCCTAAGCTGATACTAGTAGGAAGAGACTATTGAAGTCAGAAGACATAATTTTTTCCTTTGGCTATTAGAGACATGAAGGGGGGGCTGGTATTTGCAAAACTTCATTAACAGTATATATGTTTTCTTCCATTTAAGGCAAGGAAAATTAACGCTTGAATCAGGTTGAAAATTTTGCTGTTTTCTTCACGCACAGCTCCAGTCTTTCATAACATCATTTAGTTCTAAGGAAAACTGCATTTTTTTCAGAGCATAGCATACAAAAATACAGAGGACACTGTTTGTGCTTGTATTAGAAGATCCTTTTTTACTTGACTTGGAAGAAAACAAGACAAAATTTAAAATTTGGGAATTATCTATGGCTTGATTTTGAAAATGAGTTTAAAAAAAAAAAAACACCAGTAAGAATTTTTTTTCAAGAATCACAAATCAGTTATGAAGACTTAGGTGAATATGATTCTTCTTCTCCGGGGTGTAAGCCACAAAGCCAAATCCAATTCTGATTTTACTGCATTAGAGGCACATTCTTCTGTAACTTTAAGTAATCATTGTTTGCTCAGGTTGATTTTTTTCATTCTTCAGAATAACCCCAGTTATTGTGGGTTTAAATTTTGTTACTTCATCATTTACATCTTAGTCTTGGTAAAATTCATAGAGACTGACTCCAATAATCTTCCTTGTTCTGCCGTCAACAGTGAGTTCTTGCGGCACATAAAAGGTAGTATGCCGATACACCGATAAGTGGTATTCCCTGGCAGCTAAATGGAATAACTTTTTGTGTTCTCAGGTGATATTTCCTGGAGAATACTCAAGATTTCCCAATGTTTTATTCATCTCTGTATTGACAAAATCTACCTCTAGACAGAGGTATTTCCTGGCTCACATCCAAGGCTGTTCAGTTTGAAAGTTTACTCTGAAGTGTGTATGGTATTTTATTTTGCTGGATGGGCATATATGGCTAAAAATCTCAGTTTAATAATTTTGTGTAGCTCAAAGCTCACCGGGATATTTTGAAGTGATTGAAATTCTCAGTTTAAGCACACTTAAAGAAGCCTTGTATGGGCTGTGAGCTGGCAGCGGTCACACATACCAAAGGGTTCCCATACTCTGTTCTGACCACAAGCGGGCTGTTGTCATTCTCCTATAAGAAACACTGCTCCCTGCTGTGTGTTTGTAGACCTCTCATTCTCTTTAGAGATTCTGCATGTCAGAAAGTACTTTTTCCATCCTAGTTGACTTATTGAAAAGTAAGTACTAATATAAAGGAGGAGCCTTATGTTTCTTTACTAACGAATGTCTTAATGACCAAATAAGTGTGTTATGAGGTTTATTTTAAGAGGATTCCAAAGAGTAGATATAATTCCATTAATGTTTTTTCCAGAGGTTTTTTATTATTATTTGCCTGTGTTTGTTTTATGTAAGTTTAAGGTTATCTTACTAGTCTTCATGGAAAAGCCATTAAAAAATCACATTAGTTTATGTTTCTGTATTTAAGCTAATGATACTAAAGACCAGAAGCAGCCCTATCATTGTTTTCTATGCACTTACAGACTTCTTTAGCTTATACCTATGCTGTGAATTAGGTGTGAACTCAAGCTGGAAGCTAATCCCTAGTATTAAGCACTTCTTAACAGAACATCTTTCCATGCAATTCACTCTAGGCTTACATTGTCCTTTACCCAGCTGCCTTCTGCTCACAGTTTCAGAAGTTATCCAAAGTTCAGCCTCTTCCTAGGTTTAGTTTTGTCTAGCTAAGCAATCAGCAAGATTAAACAGAAAAAGCTCCTGTCATAGGACTGAGCCAGCATGTGCCTGCCTTAAACTTACCAATGTAAATGTTGCTCGGTGAGAAATTCTGGATTCAAGACAATAGTAGAAATGAGAACAGAGGCTACGTGGTGGTATGCTAGGAGCTGAGCGATGTGGGGAGGTGCTGGTCAACAGGGACTAACAAAAAATCACATTGATTGTGTCTGTGTATAGGAAGCCAGAGCAGCAAAAAAGGCATAGAAATTGAGGAAGCTGCAGGGAAAACATCTGAAAAATGGCTTGAGGACAGAAAGGAAGGGAGGCTTTTTGGTTACAATGTCAGTTTTGAAACTGTAAGCAAAGAAATCACATCTTGTTGTTAAATTTCTGTTGTGTTTAATGAAACAAGATTTTGGGGGCTAGGGGTTGTTTGGCAAACACGCACAGCCATGTCAAAGAGGTAGTCAATGCTATCATTATTTTTCCCTTTTAACTGATTCATGCCAAATTATTATACAATTGCTCCTTCCTACCTCCAACCAAAAAAATCCCTGAAAGTTTTAGAATGTGGATTGCTTGTTACTCATGCACCCTATTTGCTTCCTTGTTATGTATCTCACAATTAGGACAATAAAAACAGACCGATCACTTTTACCTTCTGCTTTGCCAGTGTTGATACAACACTTTTTCTTACAAGCAATATTTAAGTGAATCTGCTTCCTAGCAGTTATTTTACTTAATACATTTCTAAAATATTCTATCATTATTTTCAAACATTCTTCCTTGTTTTACCTAATCTTAGGCCTAACTTAATAATGGCATTTTTTTAGCGTATAGGCTATAAACCTGTTGGTCAATGTCATTCATACGCTATGGAATCTTATAGCAACCACCCCCTCTTGGCTGCTTGCTTGATACTTTACTGGGATTTTCAAGGGTAAAGATAAAACCAGTCTTACAACTAGCGTCTGTGTTCTCATGCAGTACCCCAACCCAACAAAACATTAGGAACAACATGCTCTTCAAAGGACTTTTCCAAGGAAAGGGTCAGGGGGTAGGATTTAACTGATTAAAAGAACAGAGAAATGTTTGTACCAGATGCACTTTGGTTACCCTCATTTTAGCATTCAGTTAAAATGCCCACATTAAGAGAGAATACTTTTCACATGCAGATTCACGATAGTACATTCCCAAAAAGTACTTTTGAGGTAGTTCTGTAAAAGTATTACCATAGAGGAAGGTTTCTGACTTCCATATTGGCAAGCAACAATCATATTCTTTTCAGGTACATAAAGTCGGGCTAATTTGCTATACCTTTATTTATCTGTCTTCTCATTTTCAACTTGTTCTAGCGTTGGTTAAAGTTAGGGGGGAAAAAAAAAAACACCACCAAAAACCAAACCCTTTCTGACCTCCTTTCTTTTGGATAATCATAAGACGCGGTAAATCTCAGTTAAGCCCTGAGGGTTAATGATTGTTGCAGGAGCCTGCTTAATTTTAAACAGAATGTTCTTTAATGAAAGAAGTATCTGACTATAGTTGCTACTTGTTACTTATTTAGAAGAGAGTCATTTTTATTCTTTCTTTCTCCTCTCTTAACAGGTGGCCATTGAGGAACGCATTAGGCAACTGCACGAAGCTCACAGGGATTTTGGCCCTACTTCCCAGCATTTTCTTACCAGTGAGTAATTTCCCATTTTTCTTGCTCAGCTGCACGCACAGTTAATTGATATTTTTGTAGCCATGTGCCAGTTATTGTTGCTATGAGTTTCTATTTTAGACTGTATTATAATGGCTTTCTTTTTTTTTTTTTTTTATTACTGGGAGCAGAAGGCTGTTAAATAAGTTCATATAGTCCAGGGTAGAAGGAAAATATCTGCCAGTATCAAGTCTGTTTGTTCATACATCTGTCAATGCAAGGCTGGTTTTCATTGTTTGAAGGTTTCCTTTTAGGACTAGCAAATTAAAATAATATTAGAAATTGCAAGAGTTTCTGATGATTGTAAACCAGAAAGAATTAAAAAAAAAAAAAAAAGTTGGTTTAGTTGTTCAAAGAACAGTTGTTCAGCTCTAAAAAGGGGGGAAATAAGACCTGCAAGAAAAATATTTTGCAGGTTTTGATCACGTAGAACATTGAGAGGATCAAAACCATAGTGGGAAAGTTGGCAGAAGGATGGCAGTTAAGTAAACTTTTTACAACTCTGCAAAAAATATAATTGCTAGTAATATTCCCACTCCACCTCCACACACACTCTTTTATCAAGGATGTTTTGAAGTACACTGAAAGACAACTTGAAACACCTTCAAAGCTCCAAGGCAGTGACTAAAGTGAATCTTCTTAAAGGACGCGTCTTTTCTATTGTACTTCAATTAAGGAAAGTAAACAGTAAAACTTTATTTAAGAGATTATATCAGCAGAACAGAACAGTCACAGGATAATGGTCTCCTACATGCAGAGGGAGAAGCTATCCAGACATTAGAAATAGATGTTGCTATTATTGCACAGTTATGTTCACGGTGGGGTAGAGGACAAACTTTTCTTCAGATCATACCGCATTGTGATTTTAATTGGTTAACCATTTTCCACTGAAAATCTCAATGGAAAACTCAAAATTCTCAGTGGGGTGAACTGCAAATTCAAAACCAGAGTTGGTGTGGTGTCATATAAGCACAATGCAGGTTCACAAAGATTCAGCCCTGCGCCTTATTTGATCAAATTATGATCCTGTGAATAAGCCCTATTTTTTGTGATTTCTACTACTTTTTTCAAAATCTCGTTTAAGTAGCTCCTAATCACTGGGAATAATTTGTCAGGTCAATATATATAACCACGAATTAGACTGGTCAAGATGGAACGTGTGAGAGTTATGGGTATGTGACATAAATGCAATATGTAAGCAGATGCCTGTTTTTCTTATGACACACAGTGTATTCCTGATGGAAGAATAAATTTTAAGGGTTAATTAAGCAAACTTATATTGCAATCTGGAAAAGACTAGAGTGACCTGAACTACGTTATCACACTGAATGGCATGTCATTGCCAGTGCTGAGTGCAGCCAGGCAAATTGTGTCACAGTTAAGTCTGGACCCATTCTGCTTTATTGCTGATAAACTAGATCAATCTAAAAGTTGCTCAGTGTTATGACAGTCACCTCTTTTAGCCCACCCACCATTAGTGAGACACCCAGACAGCATATTATTCTTCTGTGCACTAACCAGAGCCAGCAAAGAGTGGAAATTATTCTGGATGCTTCTCGCCCCTTGAGAATCACTTTAGGAAAAGGAGCCAAGTGAAAATGTGTTGTCTTTGGAAATAGCCAAATCCCTGAGAAAAAATGGACATGTGAATTTGTTTGTTTGTTCTTTCTCTCTTTCTTAGATGTGTGAGCAAATACATGTGCAGATACATATTCTTACACATGCATGCAAAATTTAGGTATTTGACACTGAAAATATCTACAGAATCCTTCCCAAGTATAAGTGTTCAGTCACCGAAAACTGCTGGTACATCTATCAGATTCTTCTTTCATAAGCATTGAGTTCCTCAGTATCATGTACTATTAGTACACCTGGGGAAAAATATCATGCTTTTACATGCTTTTTATGAACTACCCATGCTGCATCCCTGCACTGATGGAAGCACATCTATTGGAGGGGTAGTGCTGCAGGAGAGTGCCAGAACCTTCACCACCTAGCACTAGTCTTGTTTCTGTGTCTGTGCTTTTGGGGATGAACAAGTCAAATGTAAGGGTTGCCAAACGGATTTGGGCAGGTCAAATGAAGGTGAATTTAATGGCTTGTAAACGATCTTTCAGTGCAAGGCAAACACAGTCCAAGTTGGATCAGTCCAGCTGTGACAACAACAGTGAAAAGATGAATCATGGTAATTCTGCTCTATGGTTTTATTTTATAAGCTCAACTCACAGAGCATCGTCAGCTAAGGAGCTGCGATACACATAAGATCAATGCAAACTGTAATAAGTAAGGAAAATAAGCAATTTATTGGCTATTTCATATCTAATTTATATGCCAGTAATAATCGGTTCATACTCTCAAACTCAGCATCAACTTTCCCTCTACCATACATGTTTGCTAACCTTAAGGTGCGAGTGATGATCTTCAGCTCCCAACTGTGTTTACATACTTATATGAAAAATTGTCCTTTCAGAGCTGATCTACCCTTAAGTAGTTCTGCAAAAGGGGTGGTACTGTAGTCAAGTTCACATTAAATCAGTGACTGAATTACATTTCTCTCCTATCTGGAGGAAATAAATTTAAGCAGCTAATCTGCAGTAGTGTTTTTATGTGTTTGTTACTATTTTTTATATGGAAATTACAGCATCATCTGTCTGTTTCTGCTTCGTTGGAACTGAAGCTGCATAAGGCTGTTGAAAACCTAGCACAAAAATAAAGGGGGAGTTATAAAGGGACCTCGTATTTGTCATGCCCTGTGCAGGCAAGGAATCAAGTGGCAGTCCCTGTTTCTAAGCACTTGCAGAGCTATGCTTATAGCTATTTCTGAGAGAGATGGGAAGGAAGGTGTGAGCTGGAGAGATAAGGAGTGAAAAAGAAAAAAAAAGTCTTCTCCCTTGTAGCATTTTTAATTTAGGGACTTTTTTTTTCCCATTGTCCTTTCATGCAGTTCAGCCGTCTCTTTCCACTCTTTCTTCTTCTAAATGACCAGGCGACAGTGTTAATCTATACTGTGGCACAGAATAATTCAGACCTCCCCTGGTTGTGAGTTGAAAAAGTAACGACAAAGGAGCTAGGACACTTGTTCCTCTTATACCAAGGCTTTGGGCTGCCCTCAAATATAAAGGACTCTTCCCAAAACTGGTCCTTACCTTTCTGCTAGCACATGAACTTGCCTCTCCCCAGGCCTCCTGCATTTTTTTTTTGCTGGGCTTTCTCACCTCTGCCCTTGATCTTCTGATCGCAGTCCTTTATGCTTCCCCACGCTCATGACGCTCTGCCAGTCTCCACAGAGTCCCAGCTTCTTCTCAGTTTATTCCTTGCCAAAGACAGAGACTCCCGGCAGTCACAGCAAGAGTTGTTAAGATGCAGCTGATAAATGTGTTACGTGTGCAAGACATTATATCATGATTCCACGGAGTGAGATTGTTGGGTTTGAAAGTTTTTGCTGTTTAATTAGAATGATCTAAATGAGGGTGCAAAAAGAATAGAAAAAAAAAAAATCTCCTTTCTGTTAAAAAGAGAAACCGGTAAATATTTAGCAAAGTAATTTAAAATATCTGTGATCCTTTCATGGATGATGGTGCTTAATTTGGAAACTATATGCAGTAACTGAAGTGTCAAAAGGAATACCTGCAAATTTCAAACATAATGCCAGTGCCAGAGTTTTCAGTGATTCCTCTGGAATAATTTTACGTTTGTGACTTCTCTTTTATTTTTGTCTGTGATGCTGCCTCTTAAAAAGAATGAGATTCATTGTCTCTTGTTGGAGGACTCACCTGTATTTGTCACAACAGCTACTACTTTTTTTTTTTTTTGCAATGCAATAAATGAGGGGTAGGATTGATGTGAGATTGCTTTTAATATCATTTGCTGTGCTAGCCAGCCTCCCATCAATCCTATTTTTAATGTGATAGCTCGTTCACTTGCATTACTTGTGATCACTGAAAAATAGAAGGTATTACATCTTTTAAAAGCATAAGCAAACCTTGTAATTTACTGTCCAGCTCCAGTATGAGTCATCTGTTAGTATGTATAGCATGTCAATGAAGTGACTGCATGAAATAACGCTCAAATATAACTGGCAATTACTTATGAGTGTAACTGGGAGATTCCAGGTGCTGCTTGTGATTCCTAAGCTCAGAGTACATTGATTCTGTCAAGGCAAAAAACCTGGAAATATGAGGAACAGAAAGAACATTTAGGTTTGCAAGTCTAAAAGGCTGATTTACAGCTAGCTAACGTTTTGTGATTTGTATTTCCCAGGCTACAAGCTCCTGCTACCGGGATACATCAATACCAGACTTTTAAATTTGCATACCTAAATATGTGCTAGGAACTATATTTCAACTGGAAATACCTAACTGTGCCTTTAAGTTTTGGACTTCCAAGCAGGAACAGCACTGACTCCAACACGAACTGAGGCAGCCATAGCAGCTTCCATTCAGAAACAGAGGAGCTGCGAAGGCTGGAGTCGACAGCTTGTTTTGCGATCAGAGTGCATCGGCTGCATTTCATGTCAGACAATTGTGGCTTAAAAATAAAAAATATGATCACAGGAGTGGGCTATGTAACCTAGGCCTCTCCTTCTCTGGATAAGCTCAGAGCTTTAGGGTTCAGGTGTGGTTTGTTTCTGGGCCTTTGTGTTTTCCTTTGGGTATTTAGGCCACTCTCCTCAGAAACTGGAGATGTGGGTGGGAATTCCTTCAAGCTGAGAGAGAATTTCAGTACTCATGTCTCCCACTTTCAGGGTGAGTGCTTAGATTATTATGCAAAGAAAAGATTAGTGAAGCTCCTTCTTGCACAGGCAGATGTCTTTAAAAGGGCAAGTCCTGCTAATTAAGACATCTGACTCTAGAAATGACAGGGCTCTAGGACTCTTAAGACACTTTAACCATCCACCTGATAGATTATTTTCCGGTGCTAACATCTATATCGTTGTCTCTTATTTCTCACTGCATACATTATATTATATTGTCTTCCAGATA